CGCAAACCATAACACACATCCCTTTTCAAGCTAACCATACATTTACCTACCTACAGTGTCATCACGCCCGACTGACCAGGCGAATCTATCGACGGGAAATAACTCCACATCGAAATGACATGTCAAAACCAACCAGTACAGAGGCACTTTTGATATTCAATAATTATGAATAATTGATCAGCAGGCCATCTGTGTAAAACTTCGTCTCAAACTGGTCCTCAGTCACTGGCCGACACAGACACTATAGACGTGATCTGAGCGGTATACTCCACAAGTGGTTTTGGTAATAAATATTTCATGTGTACAATTCTTTGCTCCTATTGACAATTTTCTGTACACAATGGAGTCTAAAGTGGCCACGCAATAAAATGATGTGTAATTTCTAAATGAAGCATCAGGTACGCTAGCGATGATATGTTTAGTTATCAAAGGAACACAATAAACACACTTGAAAGGAATGGCTAATTGGTGAACCATTACGATCGTCCCTTGGAGAGGAGGGGGATTTCCGTATAGTATACGTACAATCGATCGAATAACGGGGCCAGACAAATGTAACCCCGGTTAGACTCCTAGTGGAAGATATAGTGCCATAATGACCTCGGAACATGGAAGTTGTTGACGGTTGGTTTAGTTTGATAAGTGTATGACGTCATCAGAACAGCATATTTGTAACAATAGACTAGATACGGTTCACATACTTGGATAAACGCTACTGTTAGGTAATGTATTACTGGTCATGAGGTATCTGGTCATATTTGTCTTAGGACAGATAACTTTAAATCCGGATACAATGAACTTTTTTTTTGTGTGTGATTTAGTTAGAGAAAATAAGGATGGACAGATGGAGCGATACAACTTTGTCTGATTTTTTTCTCAGGCAAGCGAGTATGCGACAACTTGTAAATCAATCGGTGGTAAGGGGACTTATCACATATTACAAAACTTAAGCCGTCTGTTTTTTCTGTTCTCCCCTTCCTACTGTATCTTTTCGGGGTGTCTCTCTTGATCCCCGCTCTGCTTTGCCCGAGGGTGTCTCTCTAGAAACCTCTGCTAATTAGCCCGGGGGTGTCTCTCTAGACCCCTCTGCTTAGCACGAGGGTGTCTCTCTAGACACCACTGAGAGGGACACAACTGCTAATCTCTAGACACATGTGCTAATAAGCCCTGGGGTATTTATCTAGACGCCTCTGATATTTGACTGGGGTTGTCCTTCTAGATACCCTGGAGAGTCATGTGACCGTGTCTGGGTTTTGACGTTGCAGCGAGATGACATGGTGACTACTGAGTATACCGACCGTCTCCGATCAACATAGATCAACTAATCAATTTTGTCCGAGAAATGTTACATATGCTTTAAAATTTAACAATAACCTGTCCATCTAAAAAGCATATTTTGTGTATAGAGAACTTTTCCCTTCAAAACGTTCACGAACGATTTCGGAACCGAGCGCTGCTCATGAGCTAACATGGTACATGTAACACATTTTGACGAATATACAGGTACAAACTCCGACAAATAACCATGACGTTATTGCACTTCCTGTTGCTGCTCTATACTCCGACAAGCCCTGCCTATTCGTTAGTAGGATTTGAAATTCCTGATTTGTTCGCTGGTCAAAGACCTTTGTTAATGAAGAATCGAGTTGATATCGATACAGGGCCAGAGAAGGCCGCGGTGATGGTAAGCCTTTGTTCGACCATTATAATCACCAGTATTTAATGACGCACATTTTGTCGCCAACATCTAAGCATTAGCTGATAATCCATGTTTAAAAATCACAAAACAGATTTCAGTTTGATATAACGCCATTAAAAAATGTATTCACCATTATAAGTCCCGGTAGGCCATGAGGTGTCGCACGCTGTAAGGAGCAGGTCCCAAGCGTCGGGCTGACAGAACCAATGCTAGGAGCAGGTCCCCGGGGTCGGGCTGACAAAACCCAATGTTAGGAGCTGGTCCCCGGGGTCGGGCTGACAGAACCAATGTTAGGAGCAGGTCCCCAGGGTCGGGCTGACAGAACCAAACATTGATTAGTATTAAGCAACATATCTAAAAGAACACTGAAGTGCAAAGAAAGAGTTTGTGATTTAAACTCAAAATTGTTGAAACTAATAAAAATATGAACATTGAAGATTCAAACGGCGATCATTGAAAGAGCAAGGAGAAAAAGTCCCGGGTTCTAGGTAGTCCTTTTGGTAGTCACTTTATTCGCACGTGATTAAAGTATTACCACACTATTAAAAAAGGAATCGAGGTAGTGGCCAAAAAACACAAGACAAACGTATGTGAAGGTGCATATTTAAAAACGCCGATATTTATAAGACATAACGTTATAAAATATTGTTTAATGATGTCGACCGTATAATGACACGTATTCTTCATCCTCTTGCATCTTTCTAAACCAGTAAGTGTGTCCATCAGCTTTCCACATATATCACTGAAAGTATACAGGTGGATGAGCAGGGATGTCACTATCTAGAAAGAGAAAGCTCACGAACGAGTATATAGATCGTCACAATTACCTTATTGCTTAGTAGTAAGTCGTCATTGTTGATCGCGATGTAAGTAAAAATCGAGGAAAGCGAATGTAGAAGGGGTTTGTAATGTCCTCAATTCTTTTTTGTATTTAGATCACCGTGGTCAGGAACTTTCTATATGAAGACAACATCATCGATGGATACAAAACCCTAAAATTGAAGGACTACGCACTAAATAATGTCCATTCATCGAAAAATGACCATTAAAACATGATATCATTGTCAGCAAACCATACCCAGATTTGTGTCCGTTGGACCCTGTTTACCTACGCAGTCTTTACGGCAGGTCCTGTTTGTTGTCTGCATTATCAGATCGATCCAGAATGTGTCTTTGTTTGTTGTTGACTTTTGCTAAATATTTTCCGATTTCAATTAATCAGAATCCAGGTTTTAATCCTATGACAACTATCAACATCGGATGTCATAGCTTAACAATATTTTCTTGATGTCATCATGACGTGACGTTCTGAAGAGAATTTAAGTAAAATGACGTGTTTGAAACGAAGATCAATTTTATCATAATACCTGGGTAATGGGATGAACTCTTTAAATCAATTCCCTTTTTTGTTATTTGTCTTTTGAATAATGAACCAACTATTAATACCACAATATACACGTTACCGTTTCTTATATTGTGCGATATAATACAGACATAATCTACCATGGCACACAGTTGTTCAACCTACCAGTTATTTGTGTATACATGTTCGACATCAAAATATCTCCAGGAATATAGGTTGGCGTAGTCGTGTTTAAATCTAAATCTGATCGTACAGTATAAATCGTTAGGCCAACAAGAGCGGACAACTCATACCCTGAACTCGACCAGAAAATGGCAAAACATGACGTAGCTATCCCTGACATCACATGGGTTTTACGTCGTCTTTTTAGGCCAAAGAGGGGTCAAATATACATTTGGTAAAATATTAAAAAAGGAGTTCAAAACTTACCTGGTAAACAGTTGATATTGGCTGTTGTACACAGATTATTTGAAATAATAAATTGATAAGCATGACTTGCTCTGTATTAAATAGAGGTCAAGTCCCGTTAACTGTGTCAGCAGCCAGTGACACACGTGTGTAGTATAGTGTACAGGGCGCCTTAATAAAGGGAATGCCGTTGTTCCTCTAATTTTTCCAGTGCAGTACAAATGATACATTTCTGAGTTTTAAACTGATAGGACATTATTTTACACATATAGTCAAAAAATTAGTTTTAAAATGTATTTACTAAGGTATTGCTAGTCTCATTGTTTAACTGGACAATGTTATATCGTTACAGGAGACTACGGAGCCAGCCTTGCTGATCCTCGGACAGCAGTCTAGGGCCGTCTGTTCACTTGTCGTGCCTGCCAATATTTGGGACGATCCCTTTCGAACGTCTGTGTCTCTGCCATATATATGGATCTGCGTGACAGCCCGGGGAAACACTGGTCCGCCTGTACGAGCGCTCGACATTTGTGCCAATAGTAGGAGACGCGTCACATCGTCTGTGTATCCACAATAGTTCGTTTTTGGAATACATTTTTGTGCGTGATATGCTTCAGACACAAGAAGAAATCAGCTCCGCTCCATTTGTGTGTGACAGTATAGTGGCCTGTCAATGTACGGTTCGGCTGCTTGCGCCATTTTCCGTGTGGCTCATGTTCAGATGTAATCTACTGGGTGACATGGATGGAAACGTAGAGAAATCATCCAATGTCAATTGTGTATGGAAGAGGGTAGTTTAGCGCATCTGTCAAGTTTGGCTGCTTCTTCTTTAAGTATCTCTTTGGAATGTAACGGTACTGCGTGATACGGACGCGAACAAAGTGTGACAAGCACGGATATTACAACGAGTCAATCTGATACCAAGGCCGTGTGCTCCCATTATACAGGTAGTGTGTTTACATACTGGGAAATCACTCCATCAAAAAAAACACAAATACATTTGTTAATTGATTCAGAACGGCATTAATCGTTCACCGGCTGAGAGGAAACACAAGTTGTGTTAAACAGCAGGATGGCGAAGCAAGCGTGGTAAACAACACAGAGGAGTTTCCCGGACATTTTGGCTTTACAGAGAGTCCTATGGTGTAAGATTAATCAACAAGTGCCAATTATAGGCGTGAAACAAAAACTGTCAAGTTCAAAATCAAGTTTATCGAAGTACGAACCTACTAAATAACAACTAAAATTAAGAAACGGGTTTAAATTGTTTGGGAATAAAATAAGTTAATTCATCGAGGTAAAATAAAGACCTGTTTATATAGTGAACCTTAGTGATACAGGTGTTGATATATACAGGTGTTGATATATACAGGTGAACTTACAGGTTACGATTGTTAGATTGGAAACGCTTTATAATATATAACTGATGGTATAACAATACACAGCACTACACAATCTCGTGATTGTTATCAACTTAAAGGACAATGTAAACATAAGAATGGGCCTCACCAAGAAGCCATGACGCTGGGGTTATCTTAAGTAACACATGTGTTGGTCGGGTGTGTCGAGACAAACACAGTGCAAGGTAAACACTGCTAATAGAACGTGGTCCATGTAGATAACCAGGGATCTATAACTACTGTTCAATTGTTTTATCAATATTGTATGATACATTTGTGCTCAATCCCTGTCTATCCCCTATGGAGTTTAAAGTCATGCCTGGCTGACGAGCAAAATAGTACCGATCAAATGATACGGCCGTAGCCGCGTATTTCTGCAATATGGATTCATACACTAGGAAACTATGTGGAACGGTAGCATACGTTCATCGATTAAATCTTAGAAAAAAGCGGGAAATATAGCATTTCCACCACAGATGATACATGGTGCTCCGACCCCCTTTATCTACGGTAAACGCTGTTTTCATGATTGTCTGCCAGACATCGAGTACGGGAAATGGCAGGAACGCTAACAACCCGAAACCGCGGCGCTGAGCCTGGCGTCGCGGTCAAGTACACGCCGTGTGCTAAGGGCGATCACACCGACGACGAACTAGAGGAGATTTCAATCGTGGAGAAACAGGAACATGGCGTCGTCAAAGACAACCATTCAGGAAGGGATATTTCTAGTTTTGATTCCGTTTCTAATCATGATATGGATTCCCGAAACCAGACGCCGACTGCAAATGGCCCACGACAAACTGGAATCGGAGCATTCCAAGCCTACCCGTCCCCTAAGACAAGGACCCCTTCGCATTCTATAGGAGCCAGACTGAGTTCATCAGGCGGAAGAATAAGTCTTTCTTCGCCTGTTTACTCAAGTAAAGTAGTTGAACAAAAATCTCGGTCAACGTCTCAAAAAAGTCTTTTGGATCTGTTTGGCACGCGACTGGACAGGGGGAAAGGGAAGAAAAGTTTTTCGTCCAAGGATGAGAAATTATTACTAACGAAAACAAAATCAAAAGAAATTCTAACAGCACGACAAATACGAAAGCAGAGACAAAAAGATATCGAGGAAAAGTTTGGAAAGAAAAGCCTAAGAACGAATGAAATTCGGGAATCTAATTCCGCCGCTAGTGATAGGGACGGATGTAACTGGACATTCGTGTTTGACCCAGCCGGACGCTTCGCCTACTGGTGGTCATCGGTGGTCAGTGTCGCTTTCCTCTATAATTTCTGGGTTATCATTTACCGGTTTGCATTTCAAGAGATTGATTCTGAAAATCACGGGGAATGGTTTGCCCTTGACTACACAGCCGACTTCCTGTATATACTCGACATCGTATTCCACTTCCGCACAGGGTACCTGGAAGATGGCGTATTACAGACAGACTCTGTCAAACTAAGAATCCATTACATGAACGATACGATATTTTACATAGATTTGCTATGTTTGCTCCCATTAGATTTTCTCTACCTTTCAATAGGTTTTTGCTCAATTTTGAGATGTTTTAGATTAGTAAAAGTATATCGCTTTTGGGCATTCCTAGATCGAACAGAAAGACATACGAATTATCCAAACGTAATGCGGACTCTGATGTTGATGCATTATCTTCTTGCTCTGTTTCACTGGAATGCTTGTTTGTATTATATTGTTGCTTCACGACTGCAAAAGTCTTCAAGTACGTGGACTTTACCAAAGGATGATGGAAATGTGGCCCGACAATACCTTCACGCGTTGTACTGGAGTACTTTAACCCTAACGACGATCGGAAACCTGCCATATCCGCACACCATCAAGGACTATCTTTTCATCATTTTCGAGATGATCTTCGGCCTCTTGCTCTTCGCTACTGTTCTTGGTCATGTTTCAAATATCGTCACGTGCATCAGTGCAGCTCGGAAAGACTTTCAAGGTAAGTCAGTTTTATTTACTGCCTTTTACAATTGTACTATCCAGCTTTAGATCTCGTTTCACTCTGGTGTGGGGTATTTTGTATGGACCTAATGAGTCCACGTTGTTACAAAGAATAATGTAGAACTGAAACAGTCATCACGCTAATCAACATGATATTTAAAGCTGATATCCCATGTTGAGAGCCATCAGCAAGCTGATATCCTATGATGAGAACCATCAGCAAGCTGATATCCCATGATGAGAGACATCAGCAAGCTGATATCCTATGTTGAGAACCATCAGCAAGCTGATATCCCATGTTGAGAACCGTCAGCAAGCTGATATCCTGTGTTGAGAACCACCAGCAAGCTGATATCCCATGTTGAGAACCATCAGCAAGCTGATATCCGATGCTGAGAACCATTAGCAAGCTCCATTTTAGAACAAAAGCCTTCTGCATTACAGATAATACACTTGTGAAGTTGATATGATGGTTAGATGACGTTGCTCATCGTTGTTCATCAGTTTTGAAGCAACGTGTCTCTGTCACTTTCAGATGACAAACAGTGATACGTGTATCATTTGAAGCGTAGAAATATAGAGAAGTGTAATACTTAACACTTGTTTGATTTAGTTTCTTTCAATAGTTTTCATTTGTAAAGATCCTTTTGAAGAATAATGACGGAATAATTGCCCTGTGTACATGTGTTCAAGGACTGGTTAGCGTCCGGGCATTTCAACGAATAAATCATCTTGGCTATTAATAAAACAATATAAAAAATAATAAGAATAAAACTGATTGTATAACGATTAAAAAACTAAGAAAACAAATACAAACGATCACATATTTCTCAAAAAAGCGTTTTGATTTGTTTTAAAACGGTTCATTAATCTGACAAGGCTTTTTGACTAGGTGTTTTACCCTAACGAGAATATCCTAATCTTTGAGGGGACTCCAGCTTTTAAACATAACCGTACAAACACATGCATTCAATCAGATGTATATTTGACAAATTTGTTCAGGGAAGATGACAAGGTGATATTAAAAAGTGTTGGTGTTTTAAGGAGAAATGTATAGCATCGGTTTGAGTTGGAGTTGTCACGAGGTACACATGTCCGTATAGTAAACTGTATGGCTATTTGTCCTTATGATTACCAGAAACCAAAAAGTGAATACTTCAAAATAGTGTTGTTAGAAATAAAATATGTTAATAAATTAAGCCGTATCAACACTTACCGTTTTGTTTATCAGGTACATACATGTCTTAGGGGGGAATCCCAACTCACAAATATGTGACATTTGAAACAGAATTCCAAACGTTTTGCTACTTTTTTGGTCAAATTTAATTAATTCGGTGTCGGACACAGCTAAAGGTAAGGCATTGTTATTACTTCAGGACATCAATCATTCTCCTTGCAGTCTCCATTAAAAACAAACAAAAAAACATTTCACTACAGATATTACTGTATACCGACTACTTTCTTGAATGCCAGTACGACTATCTCGAATTTGATATTGTTATGTAAGAGTCAACATGAACTCAACTGACGATGACGATGTTTTGAAATGATAACATTCAAATCTTATTCTTCTTCAGCGTATTTAAAAAAAAAAATCTGCTGCGGTAGACAATGTTTAGACGATAACATGATTCGTCTAACTAAATCAGTTGTCATTTGCTTGTCTACGTCTTGCGTGATTTCTTCAATGAGTGTTTCCTAAGTACACTGTCTGTCCATAACAACGGTACGTCTCAGTGAGGAAGTAATATATTCTTGGACATTGCCAAATTCGTGAGTTAACTAATACCACGGTATTCTGATGTGTCCCTGACTACCAGAAACAAGTCACGTCTTAAAGAAACGCACGTGCACAGTCTGCTCACCAGAGGATTTTAGGCATTTATCATATATAATATCTCAGTCATAAATTATTCGATACTGTTGGTTTGATTTGCTCCCGGCAGTTCTCAGTTTATCCTCGGCAGTTTTTCCGCTGTCATTGGACGTTTTCGGCTGTTATCGGTTATTATCGACTATCTTCGGTGATTCATCGACTGCTAAAACACATGTTATTCATAAGCTGAACATTTTTGACAACCATAACATAACATACAAAAAATAACAAAACAAATACATCCTTGATGTCGTAGTTTTATCTGATATCATTGCGTAGTGGTTTATTGGGAATATGATATTTTAAAGTCGATGTGCGGCCCCTTTTTGTAGCAATGTCAAAGAACGCCGATCTGTACAACACGCCCTATGAGTCTATGCTCCAAATGCAGGAAACGGCAGAGGTACCCTGACCTGGTCTTAACATTTCATTGAGTTTTGAAATCAATACACCTATGTTTGAGTCAAAATTAATACATCAGAGGCATGTCTTACACCGCAGTGTTCCAGTTTGTATGTTATAGATTATGGTTGACAGGTTAAATATATGCTTTTAGGATGCGGCACAGATGTTTCAATTTCGTTATAAATTGTCCTCTGGCTAAAAGTGCAAATTGTTCAATACATAAAAATATAATGAAAATGATTGTATGTGCATCAATTTGTTTTGTTTTTATCAATTTGATGTATTTATATTAGCCAGCAATATTTAACCCAATTTATTTATTAATTATACAAATACCTTCTGGTTAAAGTACACATGGTGAAATATATAAATATTACAATAACTTTTATAGATGATTATTTTTGTTTATGTTAATTTAAAGGTCCCTATTATCCAGGCGATGTGATAAATTTGTATTACCGGCATTCGAAACGCTAAGGATAAGGGAACACAATTGTTCAACAAAATACAACGATGAATGTGATATAATACCATTTCTTTCAACATGCAACCCATTTAAGAATATTTTCCCTATTAAAAAAAGCTATAATAAAAGTAAATTCAAAAGAAAGGGGAAAAAAAAGTCGTATGGCGAAAATTATTCACATGAAAAAGGAAAAAAAGTAATGAACAGCCTGAAAGAGCTTTGCGTCATTCTAAGTTTGCTGGTTCCAAACAAAATGCTTGTGTGTTAAAATGTGATAAACTGGGATGTGGTACTTGTGGTATTATTGTGGAAGGAGAAGACATTTTATTCACAAACCATAATTTAAAGTCTAAGCTTACATGAACTGTAGAACTCGGAGTGTCAAAGCTTACATGAACTGTAGATCTAGGGATGTCAAAGCTTACATGAACTGTAGATCTAGGGATGTCAAAGCTTACATGAACTGTAGATCTAGGGATGTCAAAGCTTACATGAACTGTAGATCTAGGGATGTCAAAGCTTACATGAACTGTAGATCTAGGGATGTCAAAGCTTACATGAACTGTAGATCTAGGGATGTCAAAGCTTACATGAACTGTAGATCTAGGGATGTCAAAGCTTACATGAACTGTAGATCTAGGGATGTCAAAGCTTACATGAACTGTAGATCTAGGGATGTCAAAGCTTACATGAACTGTAGATCTAGGGATGTCAAAGCTTACATGAACTGTAGATCTAGGGATGTCAAAGCTTACATGAACTGTAGATCTAGGGATGTCAAAGCTTACATGAACTGTAGATCTAGGGATGTCAAAGCTTACATGAACTGTAGATCTAGGGATGTCAAAGCTTACATGAACTGTAGATCTAGGGATGTCAAAGCTTACATGAACTGTAGATCTAGGGATGTCAAAGCTTACATGAACTGTAGATCTAGGGATGTCAAAGCTTACATGAACTGTAGATCTAGGGATGTCAAAGCTTACATGAACTGTAGATCTAGGGATGTCAAAGCTTACATGAACTGTAGATCTAGGGATGTCAAAGCTTACATGAACTGTAGATCTAGGGATGTCAAAGCTTACATGAACTGTAGATCTAGGGATGTCAAAGCTTACATGAACTGTAGATCTAGGGATGTCAAAGCTTACATGAACTGTAGATCTAGGGATGTCAAAGCTTACATGAACTGTAGATCTAGGGATGTCAAAGCTTACATGAACTGTAGATCTAGGGATGTCAAAGCTTACATGAACTGTAGATCTAGGGATGTCAAAGCTTACATGAACTGTAGATCTAGGGATGTCAAAGCTTACATGAACTGTAGATCTAGGGATGTCAAAGCTTACATGAACTGTAGATCTAGGGATGTCAAAGCTTACATGAACTGTAGATCTAGGGATGTCAAAGCTTACATGAACTGTAGATCTAGGGATGTCAAAGCTTACATGAACTGTAGATCTAGGGATGTCAAAGCTTACATGAACTGTAGATCTAGGGATGTCAAAGCTTACATGAACTGTAGATCTAGGGATGTCAAAGCTTACATGAACTGTAGATCTAGGGATGTCAAAGCTTACATGAACTGTAGATCTAGGGATGTCAAAGCTTACATGAACTGTAGATCTAGGGATGTCAAAGCTTACATGAACTGTAGATCTAGGGATGTCAAAGCTTACATGAACTGTAGATCTAGGGATGTCAAAGCTTACATGAACTGTAGATCTAGGGATGTCAAAGCTTACATGAACTGTAGATCTAGGGATGTCAAAGCTTACATGAACTGTAGATCTAGGGATGTCAAAGCTTACATGAACTGTAGATCTAGGGATGTCAAAGCTTACATGAACTGTAGATCTAGGGATGTCAAAGCTTACATGAACTGTAGATCTAGGGATGTCAAAGCTTACATGAACTGTAGATCTAGGGATGTCAAAGCTTACATGAACTGTAGATCTAGGGATGTCAAAGCTTACATGAACTGTAGATCTAGGGATGTCAAAGCTTACATGAACTGTAGATCTAGGGATGTCAAAGCTTACATGAACTGTAGATCTAGGGATGTCAAAGCTTACATGAACTGTAGATCTAGGGATGTCAAAGCTTACATGAACTGTAGATCTAGGGATGTCAAAGCTTACATGAACTGTAGATCTAGGGATGTCAAAGCTTACATGAACTGTAGATCTAGGGATGTCAAAGCTTACATGAACTGTAGATCTAGGGATGTCAAAGCTTACATGAACTGTAG